CGTTGCATCTCGCGCGTGCCATACACGCCGCCAACCCACCGAGGCCCAGCGCTCCACCCATAGCGTCTAAGAGGAAGAGCCCGAGGACGCCATATACCTGGGAGAGACTATGGCAGACCTGCATCATACTGCTTCACAATCCTGGAAAGACAACCGTCGCGCTATCGTACACACACTGGACATATCTAGCAAGCACTCGAAGCATGCGAGGAAAATCGTGGAAGGCTTCCGCAACGGTATGTACGCCAGCAATGTCGACTTCCACGTAGGAGATGTGTCGGACTGGATTTCAGAGCAAAGGGCAGCAAGGCAAACAGAGGAGCCATTCTTGACGCACGTGCTCTTGGATCTGCCAAATGCAGAGCAGCACTTGACAAACGTTGCGCCTACCCTGCATGCTAATGGTATACTCACCGTTTTCAATCCGAGCATTACTCAGATCGCCGACTGTGTGGAAGCGATTCGCGAACAAAAGATGCCATATCTATTGGACCAGGTCGTCGAGCTAGGAGCAGGCATGATTCGTGAGTGGGACGTTCGCGCTGTCAGACCCAGGGCAACCCTTCGAAAAGCGGAAGCGCACGACACTCCCGAAGTTCCCGAGGGGCACGCAACCGAGGCCGTGGACGGCCAGACGGCAAGGGACGAGGAACTTGCAAAGGAACTCGCTCAGACCAAAGAGCAATGGGCAATGATATGCCGTCCTAAGGCTGGCCAGCAAGTCGTGGGCGGTGGATTTCTGGGCATCTGGCGGCGCATGGAGCCGGCACCTGTTCAAGAATCCGAGTGAATGATGCCATGACCCACGAGACGGTGAAAAATCTGTCTTCGCAACTTTGGTAGTGTAATTCTCGAAAAACCACTTGGTTGGCTATGAGGCGTCTCAATAAGGTTGTGTTGGTCAGCGAACACGACTCTAGCTCTCAACTCTCCCGGTAGCTTAAGTATATAGCTTGTCACGACAGAGACCATTCGGGCCTATGAGAGTTCCGTGTGTCATCGAGCAGCGAAGCATAGACTGTTGCCATGTCCCTATCGATAGGTTCACCGGTGGGAAACCACACGTGATTGTACAACACATCCGCCTTACATGGGTAGCTGGAGTGCCAACTAGGAAGTCCAAAATTTAATAGCCACTCATTTCATAATACTCGCGGATAGTTCCCCGCGTCCTTCTAGATGCGGCTAGGTTGGTGTGCTGTTCACGATATTGTTCCTACATGAGCATTTCGATTGGCTGCAGCACGGACGTAGCTATCCTCTTGTGCGCGGTTGGAGAGCTCCATCAGTTTATATCTCCCACTACAGCACCCCGCTCCGCTCTCTACCCGTCATCACCATTCCGACAATGAGCGGCGCGGGCGAGAACCGGTGAGTCCTTGCTTCGCGACAATGGAATTCTACTAATTATTGCATAAGCTGGCGGCGACCAGGACAGGGGAACAACCAAAACCGCAACTCAGGCGCTAACACTCCCACCAAGGAAGCCGGACGACAGCAGGCGCCCTCGACGACCACTGGCAATGCTTGGGGAGGTAAAGGCAAAACTGCAGGCCCGGCACCGGCTCCAGCAGCGCAGACCAATGCCCCTGCGGTACACCATGTTCCAGTCCGCGACTTCAACAGCAACGAAGTTCGGGATTTCTTGAAGAAGAGTACGTCAACCACAATTTTAATACATGGAAAGATTCTGGGACCGTATGTCCTGGAAGCTTGCGCGCTCCCACTACTGAAGAGCCATGCTGATCACATCACAGAGTACATCGAGAACACTGCTGGTACCGTGCACCAAACTCGCAAGAAGGATACAGAGACTAACAATGTTCTTGCAGACAAGCCATCGGTCCACCACAAGGTTCAGGGCGACTCGGTAGCGAAGAGGGCCAGTGGCGCATGGGGCTCACGAGGTATGTATGCCCACCCACGTGTAGAGGACGCGTAGTAACACCAAACAGGCAACATGTCCCACCTTATGCCCGGCGGCCAGGACTTTTTCGCGCTGTTGAGGAAGCAGCTTTCTGCTGTGGACCAAAGCAAGCCTGTTCAGTAAACACATACACACCCGACATTTCATACAGCGGCATCACACGCATTGAAGGAGTTCTCAAGGACTTCATGTTTTCACAAGTGGCTACAGTCAGGCTGCATCTGTTTAGTGGTATATCAAAGCAGGAGGGCTCACCTTGGGCGTACCGGGCGTTTCTCTGGGACTTTGCACATTTTCAGGATGGTGATTCAAGCGATACCCATGTGCTTCCTTCGTCGGGCTCAGAGGTCAAAGATTTGGCAGGGTACAGGACTTTCGTGTATACACTTTGCTATTATGCATGCAGAGTCTTATATTCACTGCACTTACTCGTTGAAGCTTGACTACATGACGGCCGAAGGCAACATGGTGATGCATATCTCACCGCCATGATTATCGCGACGAAATATGATGATCAAAGGCAAGGGTACCTGCATGACTGGGATCCGTGGGGAAGTCACTTTCAAGCCACAAACCAACCGACAACACACGCCTCATTCAGCAAACAAACAATCAGGAGTCTGCTCTATCCTTCTCATTCGCAAGTGACCATCATCCACTCGCTCCGCATTGCTAGACGCCAAAAACAACAGCTAGGCGCGAACCCTGCATTTGATTCGCTTCCTTCCGCGGACTAGCAGCGGCATCACATTTCACGTTACGGAGACGGGGCCCGCCAAACACGCCCTGTACCCCGCCACGTCCCTTTCACCCCATCGTTGGCGGGAGCCTTTTTGAGCCTTGGAGCCTTGTCGCAAGCACAGCTGCATCATCGTAACGTGAAAGGTGCTGTGGCGCATGTGCGCGTTGCCTTTCTCTTAGCATCACGCCGCAGATCCCGACTGTCGGACCTTCATTGCGATCTGCCTTTCCACCACTGCCAACAAGTTGTGTACCGCATAGGGGTGCACAAATCCGTTCATTAAACAACAGCGCGCCATGTCCTCTCCTCCACAGTCACCGTCGCAGCGGCCGGCGTCCTCACACCGGCGGCATCCTTCAAGCCTGGACATGTCCCACAACACCCCCTCGCGCCGACAATCGCTCAACAGGCGCTCTTCTGGCTACTCGCCTGTGACTCCGCGCTCGTCACACGAATTTGAGCACGGCAGTCCGGCACACAACTTCGACGGCGGAGGGGACAGCAATGGCCTCGGTAATCTGGCTGACGAGTTGGGCGAGGTCTGGGACGACGATGAAGAGGTTGTAGACGACGAATTCGGCGACGAACTGGAAGCACCACAAGACGACTTTGCTGGAATCGGTACTGCAGTAGCTCATGATGGATCTGCGGGGTTGGACGGCGCAGTAAACATCAACGGGGTCAGGGACAGTGGTGTTGCCATGCCGTCGTCTCCTTCTACAAACAACGCATTAAGCCCAGATGCTGCTGCCCGCGCCCGGAAACACAACCGACAGCGCTCGTTGTACGATGGGTCGGATTACGGATCGGACTCGGATTTTGACAACGACGGTATCTCCCCGGCCATGGAGGCAAGGATGGCTGCCATAGAAAGCCTGGCCAGAAGGGGCATGGAAGAGAATGGAAGCGCATCAGATCAGGTTGTCAAGAGAGTCACCGAGCAGTTGAGGGATCTGGGAAGTCAGATTGCCATCGAGAATGGCGCAACAAGGTATGTCTTTCCTTTGCTTGATGCAGAGGCCATTGCTGACAGTATGCCAGACTAAAGACCGCACACGACGCTCTCACAACGCATCTGACCCACCAGTCTCGAACCCTCACCTCTCTTACGGCATCGTTCTCTGGCCCTCGACCTATCATACCAGATCCTGAAGAGATCGAGGCCCTTCTTCCCCTGATACAGACCACACTCGAGCTTCTCCCTCATTCATCCACCGAACCCATTGTCCAGCTAGCGCACCTTACCATGTCCACTCGAGAGCTTCTGCAACATCTCGCAAATGTCTCAGACACACTGCACATGTCGCGGCAAACCACCACAAATGCCGCACGACGGCTGCGCACGAGCAAAGAGCAACTCCACGAATGGAAGCGAGAGAATGAGAAGACCGAAGAGGGGAAATCCTACATTGAACGAGGCGACTGGGACAGAAAGCTGAAGGAGCGAGAGGCGAAAAGAGCATGTGCAAATGTGGTTGAAGGGTTCGAAGACGTCTGTGGCATGTGGAGGAAGAGGTTGTGCGAGGGATTGGGCGTGGCGAGTGCGTAATAAGCATCTACGCGCACTCTCCTATTGCCCTCCACAGAGCCTTTGCGAAGACCTTACTAATTCCTGTGCTATAGGCGAAGACTATTCAGAGCACGGGCAGCCCTGGTTACGACTTCCCGTGCGCAGTCGTTCGCAGAAGAAGGCCAGGGATACCAGCTCTGACTCAATGTTTCCCGATTCCAGAGACGAAATGCTGTAGATTCCTGAGACTGTTGTTCTTATTTTCTGTCACGGCAAAGCTCTCATTTGAAGTTTCTTAGGCGACATTTCATTTTCTTATGTATATGCATGGCAAGGAGCGTTCGTTTTATCCATTGAAAGACTGGACTGGCAGGGAAGCGATAGAGTATCTGGTAATACCCCTCTGTACGTTGCTTTTAGAACTGAAGATACCATCAAGTCTAGGTCTTCGTGACTACAACCGTCTCCATCGATACGTTGTCAGTCTTTTTGTCTTGCACTTCGAGCAGCAGCCTCATTTCCGCCTCTATCATCCATCGTACGATACAGCTGGTAGCCAAGGAAAGCGCACACCATGGCCCTCTTGGCGGTTGTCAACGCTCGGCGCGTCACTCAGGTTGGTCGATGGTGACGGCACATCACAGGAAGCCAACGAAGTTTCACGATGAGGACCAAATTGATCATTCCTGATTTTGCAAGAGCGCTGGAAACTGAAGCAACTAGAAGATATAAACCAAGCATCGATTTGGTGGGGTGGCTGTTGAAGCCAGCTCCATCTTTTATCTATTGAAGCTAAACCCCACACCAAGACCTTGGGAGACGGGGGAATGCGGAGATCGCGACTCTTGCTGCCATCATCCCTCAAGACTCTCATACTCTTAAACCACCAATTATCTACAAACCTTCATTCGAAGTCGAAAGCTTCACTGAAGAATCTGTACATACTTTGATGGGCGATAACAATGGACTTGAATTGTCGCAAGCGCAGAAGCGCCGCATTGATCGCGAGGATGGACGCAGGCGTGCCCCGCCATCCCGGATGAGAGCATGTGAGTAACGAGGGCGGGTCGGGGAGGTGGGATGAAGGCTGATATCGGACAGGTGCCGAATGCAAGAGACACAAAATCAAATGCGAGTCAGTGCCTAACAAGGCAAAGTGTGCCAAATGCCTGCGCAGCGGTGCAGAGTGCGTTCCATACAACCTTAACCAGCGCTTCTTGGACGAGGACGCTTCGTAAGTCGGCCGTTGTTCGAGTTTGGCATCATGTTAATGATAACAGCTGGAAAGCAAATGCGAATGTCAAACTGAGCCAGCTGCGCTCCGCAGTACAGCTACTCTTGCGACATGCAAACTTGCCGGATCTTGAGCATGCTATGGCGGTCTCGCCGGGGGGCTCATCCAGGCAGACTGAGGACTCCAGCCCAGCAAATACATTCTTCGAACACGCCCAGTCTGGCATGGTTGTACCACCTCCAATGGATATGACAAGAGAGGCGACTGCTGAGCTAGAGTTCCTGAACGACTCTGGCCTCGCAACCGTCCCCATGAAGAGTCTGTACGATCTCACTCGTCTCCGTACGCTCTCAAACAGCACGACGTACGGCCCCAGCTCCGCTTCGCCCAGCGAGGACTTCATTAGTCAGAATGTAGTATCGCCCACAGAAGCGGAAGAGCTCTTTAAGCGATACATATACGATATCCGCCCTTACCTTTGGGCTGGTACCCTGTTTCCGTACGACTCACTGGACGCTGTGCGGCGCAGTTCTACAGTTCTGACAGCCGCGGTGCTTACCGTTGCTGCTCTCCATATGTCCACTGGTAATGATGTTCTACAGAGATGCTATGGCGTTTTTGTCTCATTGACATACAACACCTGTCTATCACGGCCATGCAGCCTCGACGACATCCGCGCACAGGCATTGGGCGCTTTCTATATTTCCAACTTGAGCTGGAAGCTCTCTGGGCTAGCTGTCAGAACTGGTGTCGAGCTAAACTTGCACCAGTCTTATCAGAAGCTTATGCGCGGGCATGAAGATCATCGGGACAATGTCAGGCTCTGGTACGCATTGTATGTCTGCGAGCATCAATACAGCATTGCTTATGGTCGTCCACCAACCATTCACGAAGACGCTGCTATCAGAAACATTGAGCAGTTCCTCGACAGTCCCAATGCTACACCTGGGGACGTTAGACTCTGCGCTCAAGTTAGCATGTTCAAAATTCTCACTGAAGCCTACCATACATATGGCAGCGACCCAGGACATCAGCTGACGGAACCTGAACTCCATCAACTAAGACTTTTCAACCTCGCGATCGAGGAATGGCGGTCCTCCTGGCAGGGGAGATCCACCGATGCTGTCGGCATAAACTCTTACCCCTCGAAAGCGGTGTTGATGTACTACCACTTTGCTCGCGTGCATCTAAATTCGCTTGCGCTCCGTGCTCTTCCACCACTCACTGCCATGTCGTGGGACACCCTCTCCCACGAGCGACGTGAAGCAGCGATTATAGCGACCGATTCCGCCATTAGTGCACTTACTCTCATCCTCGAGGAGACGGACCTCAGTCGTGCCATGCCAGTCGTGCCCGTATTTACACACACCATGGTAGCCTTCTGCGCCACGTTTTTGCTCAACCTCGTCAGAGTCTGGAACGGCACCGCCCAAGCGCACTCGCCGCTATCTACCGCGGGTGGTTTCGATCCAGGTCTAGGATTCAACGTCGGACAGAGTCTCGCTCTCACCAGGAAGACAGCAGATTTCTTAATGACCGTCGCGGAGAACTTGAACGAGAAGCATTTGACAAACCACATCGTCCAGGGCATCAACGTTGTCCTTGAACGTCTGGAGGTTGCTAGTACGCCGGCGAGTGCGGCGACATTTCAGGTTGATGGACATGCTGAGATGGATTTTCTGCAGATGCATCCAGGGACTGCTGCAGAAACGCCGTTCGACATGGACAACCTTGAGAACTTTGGGTTTGGCTGTGATGATGCATTTTTGAAGCAGGTATCATCTACGAATCTTGACTTTTGGGATGCAGAGCCGATGTACTAGCCAAGCAAGGGAAGGGCCACTCCTTCTGTTGTACATGAGGTGAGCTAGAAGGCGATCTCGACAGTCATCAGGATCTAGGTCAAGACCTGGATGGCGATTGGCGTGTTTGAGTAGCTTGACGACATGCTACAGAGTGCATTTAGGTTTGCTCTTATTTGAGCATTCACTCTTTTCGTCACGATTTTGTCATTTGCGCGAACAACACCATTTCGCTGGTTAACGCTCCTTTTCTCCTAACCTCTTTTTTTATTTCACCATAGTCACTCGTTTATTCATACAAATAGCAAGATTTGCATCCAGCAGCATACGAAGCATGGGAACAGATTGAACACATGGAGACGTCCTGTGCATACCCTGAAATTGTGCCACCTGCAGGAAGCAAGCGGCAGAAAGCACTAACGCAACCTCCCATGAGTATGCTACTGTTTGTCACCGCTTTCATGCCAGACGATAGTGAAAGTGGATGTTCGTTCGCTCTTCACCACTCACCACAGCTTCCCAACCTCCTCCATTCGCATCTCCTTCGACAACAACAATTTCCTCCACGCCCACCAGCCTCTACTTCTACATCACCACTACAACCGGCCTTACCTCAAATTTTTCTTAATGGCAGACTACCCACACACCCCACCCCCAAGCGGCCCTCAAACCCCAAACTTGCCTCCCCTAAAGGACGCATCCCTCCGCTCCACAACTCCTCAAAGCATCAACACTCCAATCACACGCGCTCGTCCCACCATCCCAGGCTACCTAACTCAAGCCCTCGTCCTCTCCAACCCCCAACTCCGCCGCCTCCAACAAGACCTCCTCGTCCTAACCAGCTTCAACGAAAACTCCACCCTGCACTGGCGCCCCCCATGGTTCGCCCAAGACCTGCACGCCGCAAGGTTCTGGACCCTGTACAACCCGCCCAACGTCGTTACCGAACTGCTCCCGCACGCACCGCTCGGCCAGCTCGTGTATACGCGGCGCATGAGGCGTGCGGGCGATATGCCACCCGCGTACATCACGACATGGAAGCACTGGAATCGGGTGTGTGACTCAGCTGGGGTGCCGCGGGATTGGCTGAACGAGGAGTATGTCGAGTTGATGAAGTTGGGTTTACCGCGTGACGAAGGGAGGGATATCTGCGGTTTGTATTCACCTGCATCTTGTGGAGTGGACCGAAGACTGACGAGTTAAAATTACAGCTCCCCCATCTATCCCCTTGTACCCCGAACCCCAACCCCTGGGCCGCGGACGCTACATACTCGACCCGGCAACATATCGTTCGCTACCGAGGAAATTCCACCTCCCGGACTACACGGATGAACCGATCGAGGACGTCCAGGTCGTTGTCGTGCACTCCTCAGGCCGGCTTGCGATAGAGCCGCGCGAAGATTTCTTCTTGCATTCGAGTCAGTGGACGCATTTTGATGGGCACGGCGGGTATGTGCTGGATGGGGGGTATGTGCCGGATTTGGAGGCGCCGAAGGAGCAGGGGAAGGGACGAAGGTGGTGTTGGGTGCCGTGGACGGGGGAGATGGAGACGAGTTGCAGGTTGGTGGTTAAGTTGAGGGGATGGAATAGTGCTACATTACCTAGGAAGGGGGGTGGAGAGTAGGATTGAAGACCGGGTGATAGATTGAGGAATTGGACGCAAAGAATGGTTTTCGTGGTCTGATTTTGAGGGCACGCGAAGAGATGAGTTATGGATATCTTGCACAAATCGTGGCGCAGTTATTGGTGCTTCTGCTTCTTGAAAGTACCGCTATATTCCATCCAGACGCTCAACTACGCTATCAGATGGAGTACCTGCTGTTGTACCATTATCGCTTTCCGTCGTTATTTGAAACAAGCAGTGTCTCGTTGATGGTGAGTGACTATTCGGGTCTCTGACAGGGATGATGTGGCTAAATGAAGCAAGTCGGAGGTTAATCATGTCAGCACTTGTACCATGACATTTAAGCTCCGACTCCGCACTTCACATGTTCAACCTTACATCACGCTCTGACAGTCCAAGATTGTCAACATGGCGACAATCAAGAGAGCAATTGTAAGTCCTGGAAGGAATACCTCATGAATGATGTTTGACAAAGTAGTATCTTGTCCTCTTTGCAGTAGCAGCTCCATACTTCTACGATCGCTACCTCGCGTTCTCGAATATCGTAGCCAATGGCCCTGGGAAACTCGAGCCTGTTTATGCATTCAGCAGTCACGAACTCAAATTCACGGATAAACTCAAGAATTGCGAAGACTTGATTCTGCATGAAGAGCTGGGCATTGCATTTCTGAGCTGCGATCCTGGCCGCGATCGATGGAACACCGTCATGGTAGGTCCACTATCACGTGATTCTTGCGGGACGAGGAGGGATGTTGATGCAACATAAAGGGCCATTTCCATACCCCACGCTTATCTCAACCTCAAGGCACAATATGGGTATACAACTACGCCTCAACCCCCGACACAATCACTCCATTATCATTCATCAACTTCCCCCGCGAGGACGACTTCCACCCTCTAGGAATTCTCTTCGACCCCAAAACATCTCGTCTCTACGTGATAAACCACTCCCGCCATTCCGGCAGCGTGATCGAGATATTCGAACTCTCCCTCACAAACCACACCGCCACCCATGTCCAAACACTCTCGCACCCGCTCCTGCACACGCCAAACTCAATGGAGATCTTGGACAGCGGGAACCTACTCGTCACAAACGACCACTACCTCCGCGCCGCCGTGTCCCCAGCGCTATCCAAAATCGAGACCTTCTCCGGTATTCCAGGCGGAACGATCGTATCCATCTCGCCCAGCTCCCCGGAGACCGCGAAGATATTAGCTAGAGTCTCGTTCGCCAACGGCATTGCGAAACTCAACGAGACGACCATCGTGGTGGCAAGTTCGGCGAAACCGGGGTTGTATATCTACCACCTCACACCCACCGGCGACTTCGAATTGGCCAAGTTCGTGCGCACGCCGTCTGGGCCGGATAATCTTTCTGTTGATGCGCATGGCAAGGTTTTAATTGCGGGCCATCCGTATGTGCCGACGCTCATGCAGGTAGCGGAAGGGAGGTGGAAGTGCGATGAGGATGAGACGGAAGAGGAGAGGAGGGCGTGTGGGTGTTGGGCGGGGAGTTGGGTGGGTGAGTGGAGTGAGGAGGAGGGTGTGAGGACGTTGTTGAAAGCTGGCGGAGGAGAGGTGTGTAGTAGTAGTTCTGCGGTGAGGGATGTTGGGAGGGGGATTGGGATGGTGAGTATGTTGTATGGAAGAGGTCTTGTTGTGTTTAGGGAGTAGAAAGCTGGATAGAAGGGTTACTGAGGGTGACGATCATGTGTGGATTAGTGCGAAGATACGTTCGCCATCAGCGCATCGGACAGAGTGCTTAGCGGGGAATATCTCTGCGCCTTACCAAGGTAACAAAGCTCAGAAATATTAGAGGACTATAGTTGCCTCGCAGTGTATTAGGAGAGCTCCATATGGTTCCAGGACGCGTTGTCAGATAAGTAAACTTCCCCGTTGATGTGTACTATAGTCGTGATACGGTTGTTCAATGGAATATTATGCTAAACCAGCAGAGTACCCATAGTTCCCTACCAATGCCACCCCTACTCAAAAATGCTCTCCGCAGATGTTCCGACACCCGATTGTCCTGACCTGTTCCTGTCAGACTCATGGATATTGACTATACTTGTTCCTGCGTTCCCAGAAACTTCATGCCTTGAGTACGACGTCGCGAGGTACGAGGTGCTTCCAGTGCGTTTTTCTCGTCTGTGAGATATCTCTCAACCCTACCATACTGCACATGGTACATCTTCGATCCTCATCTCATGCCGTGCAGTAAATCCCTCTACCATTCCTTCCTTGCGAAGGTTTCCAGTATCCATCATGAGCAAAACCGGAACACCGTCTCCTGCCTCCCATCACATCCAGCACATTGTCTCGTGGCGAATGCGGCGTGCAACGCAAGTCCAGCAGCTTCCGCTCTTGCCTCGAAGATACCCAAGCCCCGTCATTGGCATTTTAAAAAAAAACCCTCACGTGCCTTCCCTTGCCATATCTTTTCAACCTCCAACCCCACACAACTCCCTCTCCATCCCCTCCTCCACCACCTCCATATCCCCAACTTTAGTAGCAAACACCATCCCCAACCCCGCCTCCGCATGCCACCCGACATGACAGCGAAACGCCCACGCCCCCGGGTTATCCGCAACAAAACGAATCCACAACCACCCAAACGCCTGCAAACTCGCCGTGTCCCTACGCAACGGATTGCTTCTTCTCTCCACATCCCCGAGATTGGCCGGCGCATATCCGCGCCCGGCCCCCATGACCCAGAACTTGTGTCCGTGGAGGTGAAACGGATGGTTTCCGTCGTCGAAGTTTTGCAGCACGATATCGACGGTGGATATGTTGTGAGTTTGGTAGACGAGCTGGGAGAGGGGGTTGAAGAGGGATGTGTTTATTCCATCTCCGATTTCTTCGGAGGAGGAGGAGGAGGAGGGTGAGTGCGGGGGATCGAGGAGGGTGTGTAAGACGGGCTTTGTTGCGTCAAGGCGCAGAGAGCTGTCGTTGAGATATCCGCGGGACAGCGCGTGGTCGCGGATTTGAAACGAGGAGCGCAGGAAGAGAGTATGGTCTGCTGATTCCGGCGCAGGGAGGGGCAGGACGGGTGTGAGAGACGTGGTGTTGAGGTCGCGGCATTGGACTTCGATTGTTTCGGTCCAGTCTGTCGTTTGGGGAGTGAGGGTCGAGCTTGAGGGTGAAGTGTAGTCGACTACGCCCCAGACTTCTTCTTGTAGCTCTGGGTTCTCGTAGGCAAAACAGTGTGTGATCATCCGCGCTCGCATCCAGTATAGCCCTTTGTTCTCGTCCTTGGGCGGCGTCAAGATGATACTGTAGCGTTGCCCAGGGTTAATATTCAGGCGTTGAATACTCTGCGGATACACATCCGTGCCATCGACTTCCGTAACTTGGAACTCATGCTCGTCGATCTGTAGCGAGAACTCTGCAAACGCACCGACGTTTAGTATACGAAGGCGCGTGCTGGATTTCCTCTCCAGATCAAATCTCGCCCGCGAAACTCCGGTAGCTGAACACTTGCGATTTGGCAGATCTTCACACTCGCGCAAATTCCGACCATTGATCAGCGCAGACGGCGGAACAGGCTCGTCGTTCTCATTGCCCGGAGCAAGATACTGCACCAGCAGCTCCGACGAAAGATCGTAGTAGTAATCCGACAGCATAACCACGCGGTCTTGCTCATACGGGACTTTCTGCAGCGTCTTTTCTTCTCCGTCTCTTGCATGAATGACTAAAGGACCCACCAGTCCATCCGAGGCCTGCATGCTCATGTGGCTGTGGTAGTAGTACGTGCCAGACTGGCCAGTGACGTTGAAACGGTAGGTAAAGGATCGACCAGATGGGATTGGGCACTGCGTGACGCCGACAGTCCCATCCATCGAATTCGTACCATTCTGGTAAAGTCCGTGCCAGTGAATCGATGTTGCGTTGACACCGCGATTGTGGACGTGTACAATGATTTCGTCGCCTTCGTTGCATTCGATCATGGGCCCTGGGAATGTGGCGTTAATAAGTACCATAGGGCGGTAGACGCCATCTGGATTGTGTTCGTGGTCTGAGATGATCCACGTGTATTCCCGCATTGTGGGCGCAGCATCGAAGTCCCAGGCAGGATCGAGTATGTAGTCCTCCTCTGGACGGATTTGTGCTGGAGCGGCGTTTACTGCTTCAGGGCGATTTGGGCGTGCGATGGCGAAGTTCAGGAGAAAGCCGAGTGTGCAGATGATCAGGACGGTGACTGCGACTATGGTAGTCCAGCGCCGCCTTGGCTTCGAATGCCGGGTAGTTCTGCCTGCCTCTTTCCATAGTAGGTCATGTTCGATATAAGATTCGGAGCTCTCACGACTAGTCGTCTCTTCTTGTTGTAACAGACCAACTTGCTCCTCCATTGCGATCGAATCTGGCTGGGACAGTTCCATCTTTCAGCTTTGGACCTCGCGAAACAGCCTATTATATCATCAAGCGTAAAGTGTTTGGTTGAAAAGCCCAGGGCAGACTCGTTCAAATGATCGCGGAGTGAAGTCTCCAGTATTCCGAACTTCTTAAAATCGTCGACCACGGATCATTCCCTTTGCCTCTCCCTTGCAGCACCAGGCGCTACAATGAATGCGTGCACTCTGTACAACCTCAAACTAATATTATAGAGCAGCTGTTGTTTGCCGAATAGACTCAACAGCTCATGAGCGCATTACGAAGTGCACAAGTAGCCTTGAAGTTAGACAGCCCTTGGAAAGTGCTTCGAGGTTTCAGACATCGGTGCAAAAGTTCGTCCCACCCTAATCATACTCGGAGCAGACAAGTCCATAAATGCCCCGCCCACCATTCGCCGCCAAACTATCCCTCGCTCCGTCCCTCCTAGCCGCAGAAATCGTACCAAGGTATGACAGCCCAGCTCCGCCAATCAGCCGCGCACGCGCACACCACGAAGCTTAGCCACCTTCCCGAAAAGCTTGACCACGCAACTATAGAAAAGCGGCCTACTACGTAGTCTTTCGCCTCCTGTGCACACGGGAAGCCTGCGAGACTGCTGATAGGTTTACATGTGGTAAAAGTGATCTAAGATGGGAAATATAGTAGCGGACATGAAGATTGATGCGGAAGGTGGGGCTGGTGAAGGGAGAGCCCGTGGGACACTAACACTACGTCCGATTTGTACCACGGGTTTGTGCGTCGCTCTTTTGTTATCTATTCTGGTGGGGAATGATCCTTTACACAAAGACACTCCAGATATCTAACACGATTCACCAGGGTATACTCGCCATGGTCTGCTGGCTTGCGGTCTCCCTGACTGCGCTGGCAAGCGTAAGCTCAGCGCAGTTCGTGAAGGGAAAAGCCTTCGACCGTATCGCCATCATATGGCTTGAGAACACCGACTACGACCTCGCCGCCGGCGATCCAAACCTCGCATGGCTCGCGAAGAAGGGCATCAGTTTGACGAACTACTTCGCGCTTACGCATCCGTCGATGCCAAATTATGCGGGTGCCATCTCGGGCGATTACTATGGCATTAATCATGACAACACGGTCAACATCCCATCCAACGTGTCTACGCTCGTCGACCTGCTAGAGGACAAGGGTGTCAGCTGGGGCGAGTATCAGGAAGATATGCCGTCTGTCGGCTTCACGGGCAACTTCAAGAATCCGAAAACGGGCGCGAATATGTACGTGCGTAAGCACAATCCAGCGGTGTTGTACGACTCGGTTGCGAAGCAATCGGACAGGCTGGCGAAGACCAAGCCGTTGACGCAGTTCAGTGCGGACTTGAAGGCCAACGCGCTTCCTCAATGGATGTTCATTACGCCCAACATGACTTCAGATGGTATGCGTCTTGCATGTCTGTCATTGAGTTAGCTTACTTACACCACTCAGGCCACGACTCGACCGTAACAGTCGCGGGATCATGGACCCGGAAATTCCTCGAGCCACTTTTGACCGACAAGACCTTCATGAACAACACACTCGTCATGGTCACGTTCGACGAGAACCACAGCTACGCTGAACAAAACCGCATCGTCGCCATATTGCTAGGTGATGCCGTGCCGTCGCAGCTCGTTGGTACCAAGGACGACACCTACTACAACCACTACAGCGAGATCTCAACAGTCCAAGCCAACTGGGGCCTTCACACCCTGGGACGCTGGGACGTGGGTGCTAATGTCTTCCAGTGGGTAGCCGCAAAGACTGGCGACAGCGTACGTGCATGGACTGGTAAGGTTCCTTTGAGCAAGACGTTCTTCAATGCAAGCTATGCTGGCAAGTTGAACAACAAGAACACTTCGGTGCCCTGGCCTGTGCCCAACAGTAATGTTCAGTATGCAGGAAGAACTGTGCTGCCGGCTATTGCGAGTGTCTGGGGAAAGCAGGTCGATCGGTCGGCGTATACGTCTGCGTTGGAGATTCCAGATGGCCAGCATCCAGATGCGGAGTTCAAGTAGAGTGTTTGAGGGAGATGAATCCATGTCTTTGATCTCGTGATCTGGTTTTTCTTATGAGAACTGAACAACCTTGCAGATGAGAATTTGCCCGGCAGCGGAAGTGGGCCAGACTCAGCTCTACATTTAAACCCCGATGAACCCTTTCCGCATGCGCACAGCCGGCATTGACACGAGGCAGTGAACTGCAGCCTGGCACATACGATGGAACAAACATGGGTGAATTGACCCAATTATACACGGTACTATCCAGTTCTCATACCCGGTTCGTTTCCGCTCATAGGTGACAAGGTGCAGTATGGGTATGGATTGGTGCAGGCCCCGGCTGCTGCAGGTGGGCGTCTTCGAATCAATTTAGCCATACCAGGATATGGGAATGTAAGAATTGCAGGCAAATAGGATCGCCCTTGTTCGACATCAGGCCAGTGCACAATTTTCGTGGGCTTGGAATCGACTGATGTTGACGCCAGACGAGTGGTTTCGCAATATGGAGGTGCAGTGCACATCACGTCGTCGAGGTCATCTGCTGTCAGGATTCAGCGCCAAAGACATGCGGTTCGCTGGCTCAATGTCGGGGTTGAGCACGTAGCCGAATGTGCGGGCTAATTCGTGCATACTGCGGAACGGAGCCTGTCAGAATCTGGTGGATGCAGCTCGCCGTGCAGCCTCGGGTTCAGCTGAACGATGGCGGGGATCAGCCTCCTGCCCTGTGCCTTATCGCGAGCTAACGAGGTCTTCGCCAACGAGGAAAGGCCGACAGCATGGTGTTGACTGGGGCGGGCGAATGAAAGCGGCGAGAGGCGCGAGAACCCCTGGTGGCCTTTGCAACTAGACGCAACCCGTTGGTGATGTCGTCGGAGCAGTTTGCTTCTTCAGGCGAGCGTGGTTCAGCGTCGATGTCTACTTACGTAGCGCAGTTCTGCCCGAAAGCTCGGGTGAGGAGGACGGGTGCCGGTCTCGTCCCGATGCATGCTCGAGACATGCGAAACACTTACGCTGGGTGGGACAGAAGGCGTCATGTAGCGCAGGTGTCCTTGTGCATGGCGAGACATGAGGAAAGCGGATGGTGTTTCTGTGCACACACGGGCGACGGTGTTGGATGACAGATCTGCAGGCTGGAATGCAAGCGGACCGAGTCCACTGGCCCCGCCGCGTTTGGCGAGCGTCCAACGACGAGATCTGCGGCGGAGGAGAGGTGTCTCAGCTGCGCGCTCGCCTCACAGCATTGCCACTTGCAGAGGCACAGGGTCTCGTCGCTGCGTGCATCAGCGGTGGCGAGAAGCGCACAGAGTGCACAGAGTGCACAGAGTGCACAGAGTGGGAGTGGAAGTGAAGCGTGTGCTGATGGCCTGGCAGCTCCACGCGCGAGCAAGGGCGACGGCGTGGTGAGGTGATGGGAACACAGCCAGCGCACACAGGCGACGGGGGGCTAGGCCTGAAGGAGGCGGCAGACAGACTGTGGGCGCTGCGTATGTAATCACTGCCCCGGTTCTGAGCCAGCCTCGCATGCGGTTTCAGTGGTGCAGAGCCAAGATGGCGCGCAGAGTCGAGGGCGCGCTGCAGACGGGCTACGCAGGCTACGTGAGTGACACGCGATGGCAGGCGGCAGCGTGCGTTGGACGTGAACGGACGGGCGCTGGGCGTCGTCACGAATCACGAACGGCGCCCTGGAGCAGCTGCATGGGTTTTGCGAGGCTGTGTGCGGCAATCTTCTAGAAGGCTTCGAAGCGGGCTTCGGGCGGGCAGAGTTGTGGGGGCTTGGGACCAGCAGTGCCAGTGGATGCGCGCTCGAGGTGCAACCTCTGCCCCAAGACGACACCAGCGCCCAGCACCAGCTTAGCCCGAACCTCACAGCGACTGCACCCGCGCACCGCAAACCCCATCGCGACTCTCAAGCCCTGATGCTGCTCCGACTGCAGCCAATTCTGCGAGTGCGCTGTATGCGACACCGCCGCTAGCCCCCTGTGCCTGTATCTGCCCTCTCGCCGTCTCTGGCACCAGCAACCACACGCCCGCTGCAGTCGTCTGGTCTCGTCTCAGACACCGTGGGTGCTTGACTGTAGTGCCGCGCGCCCAGCATTCCGACTACAATCGATTGCGCCGCTATTGCTGTTGCTGCTGTTGCTGCTGTTGCTGCTGTTGCTGCTGTTGCTGCTGTTGCTGCTGTTGTTGCTGCTGCTTCTACTCTGCGCTGCCCCCATCCCGCTGCACACGAGACGCAGCCACCCGTCTAGCACCCACCCGCTGCGTCGCATTCGCACCTCGCGCCTTCCTCGCCGCTGCATCGCGCCTTCCACGCAGCAACTGCCTGTGCGCCAGCGTGCAACCTGTCCAGTGTCCACCACCACCGCGCCGTCGGGTCCCTGGGCCCTTCTTCGACATCGCCGTTTCAGATCGCATCTCAGATCACCGCGCGCCCTCGCCGTGTCTAAATCTGGGCTTCCCCCACGCTTGCTGCCTCTCCGCATCGCTTGCAGCGCTACTGCAATCTCGTCTCTCTCAGGTCGACACTGCCCATCGATTCGTCTGCGCTCCGACGCCGCTCCTTGCTTGCGCCGACGCCCTGTACCACCGCTCCACTGCGCGCAACCCACTCCAGACGCCGCACTGCGACCCCGAGACGCTGCCCATTTTGCGTCAACAATACCACACCCTCCCCTCTGTGCGGGAGGCTCCACGGACGCCCCAGACCAGCATCGCCTGGTCGCCGCAGCATAGGTGGAGACGATGGAACATGGCATGTGCAATGTCATCTACACGGACCGGCGCGCCAACGACGAACACGTGCAGCGAGAGACGCTCTCCGATTCACTCGTGGCGCGGAAGAGCACCGGCAATGTAGGCCAGAGCTATTTCGCCCTGGGCAAGACGCCGCCCGCTGAAGTGCATGCGAACGTGGAAGCGATCCTGTCCATGTTCAACGAAGGTACGTGCCCACACACTCAACCACGACGACGCTACTAACAGGCTACCTAGTCCACATCTGCGGTTCAGGCCGAGCATGTTTATCCAAGATCGCCAGCATACTCGATTCGCCCAGAGGCAATGCGCCCATCTTTGTCATCATAGACGTCCCCTACGCCGAAGAGCAGCGCCTCAAGCGGTTGTCGCGCGAACCACGCACGCCCTCGCCCACCTCTGGGCGTGTAATACGAGTAGATACGAGCGAACCCAACGACATTTACGGCACCCACCTCCTCACGCACGTGTCCTCGGAGATCTCGTCCAGAAACTTTTCCAAGCTCGTTGTACCCGTGGTCATGTTGACTGGTCTGGAGCACGAACCTGGTCCATCAGGCCTACCCTCGCCAGGCATATACGGCGCCCAAGTTCTGACCGACAATGTCCGCATATCTCGCTACCTGGACGCTGGCGCTTTCGATGTCTTTTCAAGTCCTCTGTCCAAAGATCGCATGCACGGCCTGGTCATCCACGCCTACCGACTGCAAAAAGAATTTGCGCGTGAAGAGGCCAGTTTTCTGACTTCTAAGAGAAACCGGAAACTCTCGTGGGTCGGCGTCGACGATGCCAAGCCTTACGGGTACCTTCGTGAGGCAATGGTGTCGAATCTGATGACCGGTATCTGTAATCCAGAGACTGTAGGAGAGTCATTAGATGCCGGGTACGGAGTTAAGATGAATGCGCAATTTTACATACGCTAACAAAGCTTAGTGATTTCGATTTGAGCCGAGACCGCAGAGTCGTTGTGGAAGAGGCGCTTGGAACGTGGGCTTTCTCCGCTCACGATTACACCGACGACGAGCTCCTCTACGCAGCACTAGTCATGCTTCAACATGCTCTACAAATGCCAGAGCTCGACAAGTGGAGGATACCAGAAGGCATGTACTTCTCGTTTGCCAAGTATTTTTGCTAACATTCAAAATAGCCGATCTCATTGTTTTCCTCCTAGCCAGTCGCACTGCGTACAACGAATTCGTCAAGTACCATAATTTCCGCCATGTCGTCGATGTTCTCCAGGCCCTTTTTCACTTTCTTGTCAGAATAGGAACTTTACTTCCGTATCCTCCAAACGACTCTTCCGGCTTGTTACCGAAGTCGCCAATAGCTGAGCTCTTGAAGCCCTTTGACGCGCTCACGCTTCTCATTTCCGCCATTGGACACGACGTTGGCCACCCGGGTGTCAACAACGCATTTCTTGTAGCCTTGAATGCGCCATTGGCGCAACTGTACAACGACCGCTCCGTTCTAGAATCTTTCCACTGCGCAGCGTATTCACAAATACTGCGTCGATATTGGCCACAGGCTTTTTCGGATAGTGCGATGCGGAAACTAATGATTAACAACATCCTCGCTACCGATATGGGTCTGCATTTCAAATACATGACCGACCTTGGAAACCTGCAACAGAAGATTGCGCACGACCAAGGTGACACCGATGGCTGGAATTCCAAGATGAAGGAAGAGCAAAAGGACCTGGCTTGTGGTGTCTTGATCAAGTGCGCTGACATTTGCAACGTGGTAGGTGGACAAATTCTCCATGCTGTATGTCGTGAAGCTAACGTTCCCATCAGGCGCGAAAATTTGACACAGCGGCAAAGTGGGCCAACATCCTCACAGACGAGTTTAGTAACCAGGGCATCATGGAGCAAGAATTACAGATGCCTTCATGTCTGTTTGGCGGGCCGCCCGTTCGAGATGACTTGATCAAGCTTGGAGAGTCCCAGATTGGCTTCATGAACATCTTCGCCTGTCCATTGTTTGAAGCAGTCACCGATATTCTACCAGCGATGCGGTTTGCTGTCGATGAAATCCTGGCAAACAAGACTGTCTGGGAAAACAAGATCGACAGTGAGCGCTCCAAGAAGAGAAAACACCCCAATTTCTCGTTGGGTAAGCTAGTTCCTGCCTTTGCTGTCGATCCGTCTCCAAGTCCATTCTCTGGCGGGCCGCCCAGATCGATTGCTGAAGTGAGTGCGCCAGTAATCACACCAGACGCAACCGCGCAGGAATCGTTGGACGAAACTCGACGTCGAGGGTCGAGCGGAACCATCCAGGCAACCGTTGTAGAAGCACAGGGCTCGCCAGCGGTCGTTGACAAGGACCCATGGCGGTTATCTGCAGCAGCTCTCGTAGCACAACGTGCATCCGCATCTCCAGAATATCAAGGTTCAAGACGAGGGAGTGGAGATGCTAGCTTGACGAAGATCCTTGTCACGCAGACCCCAAACCCTGCCGAAACGTGTCCTAGAGATCACACTCCAACACCTGAGGACCACAACCGAGGACAACGAAAAGACACACTTACTAGGTCTGCCTCTAAAAAGAACGACAGAGATGGTGCAAGACCTGTCACTGCCCCATCACAGGCCAGACACAGCCAGAGTAAGCTTTGCGGTTCCCTCAGTCCAGCTTTCGAGTCTTGCTAATATGAGCCAGACGTCGATCTCTATCCTATGCCGCAACCATCTTCTCAAAGCCACTCACAGGTTGATTTGTCCCATACGGCCAATGGCAATTTCGACGGCTCAAAACTACAACATTGGGATTCAAACAAAATCAGTGGCGATAGCAACATGACACGATCTGATGTCTCGCGCAATTCGAGCTGGTGGCGGCAAATGAGTACTAGGCGTGCCACCCGCGACACGAGGAATGGCGACACAGAGGGCAGACCAGCACACAAAGAGACGACACTCGATACAACGCCGTCAAACACGACCTCAACTACGACATCACCTACAATTCCCAGTCCCGATCGCAAAACTACGACAGGCAAGATAAAGAGTTTCTTCAAACGGAAGCCTAGGCACGAAGAGCAACCCAAACAGCTTTCCAGTTTTGGCAGCTCCTCTCAACTGCGAACACCGCCGACTCGCGATCCGAGCCGCTCACTGAACGGCGAAGATTGAATAGACCACGCCACTCTTAGACACGGATCACTATTTCAATCTCCTAGTAAACGACGTCGTATCGAACCACCAAACACGCCATTTTTCTTTCTTCTTCCAACATACCCGTGTCAAAAGCGGTTCTTGGTCTGCTTGCAGCGTCTCTTGCAGATTTTCCTGTCCTCTGGGGTCCCTTTTCCTAGGATACGATAACGCATGATATTGAACGGGCGACCACGAAACAAAAAGCTTCAACTACTACTGTACTTACTATCTTGAGAGGGGAAACAGTCCGACCCTTGGGATCCTTGTTATCCTTTTCGGAGCCGGGCAAGCAAGCGAGCGAGCGAGCGACTTGTTCATTCTCCAGGCTTGGGGAATTCTCAACTCGCAACACGCGCTTCATTTCTTTCGCATTCAGTCACTTGAATTCCTCGAAGTTTTTTTTCTTTGTCTGTTCAATATCGCGATTACCGGACGCGAAGTTCCTTTCTCGCTCGCGAAATGAGATGCGCTGTAGAGTTGTTTTACGCTTCTGGCGCGCTCGTATCTGTCTTGCATTTTCGGATGCGTGCGGGTTTCCTTGGTATAGCAAAGCGCAAGTCTTCCTTTTCTCGCGCTCTTGAGCACGGCTCGGGCTGGAATCATTCTTGAGAGGGTTGTTCGTAAAAGGCTTCGGCCGAGGTTTGATCAACACGCCGGAGAAGCTGCGAGCGCGATTGAAGGTTAAGGGAGGTGTGGGGAAGGAAGATGAAGGCGTGAGAATGTTGAGCGGATGAGCTCGGCAAAGAAGACAGTTAATGAACAGTTTTGCTAGTAATGAAAAATGTATATTCAACGGCTGCTTTGTGTTTGGATGCGTTGTGAGACTTTGTCATCGATAGCGCTTCGTTGAAGATGAGAGTGGTTGTTGAATGGTGATTTCTTTTGCTAGTACAGGTTCCTTTAATGTTGGGATGTACAATATATAAACACATGATCTACTTTACATGTCACACCGGTACTCTCTCACTGCCAACAACCCCTTCGCACCGCTGACATATCTCCTCCTCAGGCTCCCTCACAAAGCGCCAACACCGCGGACACTTCTCCCCACCAGGCGCATGCACGACAACCTTCGCACCCTCCCATCCCTCCACCCCAGCATCGACGTCTTGCTCGACACTCCACGCCCACGCTCTCTCGGCATCACTCCCCCGGATTTCGAATTCGGAAACAACGAATATCGAAGCAAGCTGCTCTTCCACGTCATGTACACCCAGCGAAGAGTTTTGCGTGCACGTCTTGACCAGCTCCACGAGCTTGTGCGCGGCGGTTTGGGAAGGCAGGAGCAGCGTGACACTGGACTCGAGGCCGGATCCGATTTTCTTGTCGGCGCGGAGGGCTTCTTGGGCGGTTTTTATGGCGGTGCTGAGGGATGTGATGTGTGTGAGCACCGTCTCTGTTTGCTTGTCGACGGATGGAGATGGAGGTGGGCGAGTCCAAGTCCCGCGTGCAGGATGCGTAGAATTATCCCTCAGACCCGCGGGGACATGGGCCCAAACTTCCTCCACGAGCAGCGGCGTGACGGGCGCCAGGATCTTGAGCAATTCGTAGAAGACGAGACCGAGCACGCGTTGGGATGCGCTGGCAATCGTGCAGATCGCCCGTGTATATCCGATCCTTGACGCGGTCTCGAAGTAAAACGCGGACAAGTCGTTGGAGATGTACTTATTCAGTGCGTTGACGCCTTTGAAGAATTCGTAGCGGGCGTAGTGCGCGTGGATGTCATGTGTGACTTGTCCGAGGCGGTGTAGTGCGAGGACGTCGGCGAGATGTGTGCTCTCGGGTGAGAGGTGCTCGAAGGAGGAGAATGTGGGTGGGCAGGATGGCAGGGAGAAGATGCCGAGCAGCCATTTGAAGGTTACGCGGTACTTGTGCAGGGCTTGGTTGACGGACATGAGAACGGGCTGCCCGATGGTTACGTCGCGCATGTAATCGCTACTCGCGGCCCAGAGGCGGAGAGCATCAGAGCCCATGGCATCGTATGCTTGTCCTGTGGAATTTGCCTGCGCGGCCTGGCCTTTCTGCTTCTTGCGCTTGATGGGCGGGAGAAGCTCACCGGACATGATTTGCATGGGGGAGATGACGTTGCCGAGTGACTTGCTCATCTTGCGGCCATCAGAGTCGAGTGTGAAGCCATGCGTGATTAAGGTTTTGTAAGGTGCCTTCACAGCTGACTTTTCATAGGGCTGGAGAGCGACGTGGGTTAGCAGCGAAGACTGGAACCAGCCGCGGTGTTGGTCGGTGCCTTCGAGATAGACATCGGCAACGGGCTGATCTGCTTGGAGAGGGAGTAGAGTCCAGCTGGTACCACTGTCGAACCATACGTCCATCGTATCTCTACCTCGGACATAGGTGCCAGTGAGATGCTCTGGCTTCCATGCTGGGTCATCCTGTGCGTCCGTCCACCAAGCGTTGATACCGCGCTCCTTGATCACGCCAATGACATGCGTAATAGTTTCCGAGTCCATGGCAGCTTCCAGCTGGTCACTGTTGACCTTGTACAATGCTGGAATAGGCACACCCCAAGCACGCTGCCTGGATATACACCATTGACTTCGGCCCTGAATGAAACTCTCTAATCGTGAACGACCGGTTTCTGGCATGAATTGAACATGTTCAATTGCATTCATCGACGCAGCCTTGATGCTCTCAACGTTGGCGAACCATTGCTCTGTCGCTCTGGTGATGACAGGCTCTTTGGTTCTCCAGTCGATGGGGTACTTGTGGCGGTACTCTTGCTTCCCACGCAAAAGGCCTTGGTTTTCAAGATAGTTGCACACGGCTTTGCTAGCTGTCTTATTCTCATCAGCCACTAAAAGGCCCTCGAGAAGCTCAGGTTGCTCCGGGAAGGCGTCCTTCGTGAAGGCACCAGCATCATCGATCGGGGCGAAAGCCGGGAGGCCAAGAGCATGGCAAACACGATAATCATCCATGCCGTGACCCGCAGCCAGATGAACCAGACCAGTACCAGACGAGTCGGTGACAAAGTCGGCATGAATGACAGACTGAAATCCACGTGCTTTCTGGAACGGGTTCTCGTACTGCAAATGCCCAGCGAGATCGGATCCTCGCAGCCCAGCCAGTACAACGGAAAGCTCACGCTCCAAGACCGATTGGTACTCCGCGATCCGGGAAGCAGCCACGAAGGTCATCTCTCCACTGCCATTCGAGTCTCTGACAAGGCAATACTCCATGTCGTTGTGCACCGCAATCGCACTATTCGCGGGCAGCGTCCATGGTGTCGTAGTCCAGATCACCACATTAACCTCCCCATCAATACCCTTCAGCGCGCCGTTCCTCAGTTCCTCCGCCACACTTACAGGGAATCGCACAAAAGCAGCTAAGCTCTTATGTCCCTCATCATACTCCAACTCCGCCTCTGCCAGCGCCGTCCTCGAGCTAGGACTCCAATGCACCGGCTTATTCTGCCTGTATATCAAGCCCTTCTCGAACATGGTCTTGAACACCTCAAGCTGTCTGATTTCAAACCCCCGTTCCATGGTCTTGTACGCGTTGTCCCAGTCGCCCATGACGGCCCATTCCTTGAAGCCGCGCATCTGCTCTTTAATGGTGCGCGTGGCGAGTTGGCGGGCTGCCTCGCGGACGGTGACGGGGCTGGTTTGCGCGGCGTCTTTCTTTTGCAGCTTGCAGGGCTTTAATTTCGATGGGTAGGCCATGGCAGTCCCAGCCGGGGATGTAAGAGACTTGCTTGCCTTGGGTGACTTCGTAGCGGCATATTATGTCTTTTGTGATCTTGTTCAGCGCGTGGCCGATGTGCAGTGGGCCGTTGGCATATGGCGGGCCATCGTGGAGTGTGAATGTCGCGGGAGCTGCACTACTCACAGCAGGTCCAAGAAATCCATCTTTGAACTTCTTCAGGGCTTCGAAGCGAGCGGGGCTTCGCTGCCAATTGTATAGGTCATCTGTGCATCGTCGTAGGTATTCCGCATTCGTGGCGGGTGACGGTCGGGGCGGGAAGCTTGACTTGGGCAGTCGAAGCGTAGACGACCATGATGCGCGAAGGACACGCGTCGGGGCTAGCATAATAGCATCATGGGCGGGCTGGCGGTCAATGCAGCTGATTTGTGACTTTTTGAAGATTGAGGTTGCAATGGTGATCTTTCGGAGATTGGCCGGACTTAGTCACTGCATGATCACAGCTTGAACAATGAGGTCTAATAGTAACATAACTACATTGCAATTGCAAGAAGGACAGTCTACGTTGTTACGGAAGTATTTTAGGTTATCTAGAGCGCCTAAAAGTTCTAGCAGAGCAAAAAGATGGAACTTGCCTAGTATAATAGAGGCTCGAACCGGTGCTGCATTGAGTGCGTCAGGAAAACTAAAAATCTATCAAATATTTATTTCTATTAATACTGTAGAATTGACTGTGTCGCTAGTAAGTTAATTAATTTAAGAAATTTATGTTTGTTATTAAATATACTTTAAAATAAAACTTTGTTAAAATAGTTAGTACTGTTAGAATTGTTAGAACTATTAACGCGATAGTCTAGCACATAACTTTACTATCTTTAACTATTATATTTTCTTTCTTCTTACCTACTCTATCTTTCTATCTACGCTATTGAAGTTTACTTCTTTAATATACTTTCCTTAGTATCTTACTATATATTTACTTCTTTCTGCATTATAACTAGATATTATAGATATTACTAGAAAGAGCTTTATTAGAATTATTAGTAATATAAGAATTATTCTATTACTATGCTAGTCCTGCATTCTATATAGTTATCTACTGTTAAGCACTATTAAGCACTGTTAAGCATCTTTCCTAGCAGTGCGCTAGACCTTAGCAGAGTGCTTCTAAACTTATAATAATTAGTTTAGTTTAATGCTAGTCTATGCGTTAATCTGTAATTATTAATTCTCTACTTTATAGTTTATCTTAGAAAGTTATTTTAACGTCCTACTTACTTAGTACTTTAAGTTCTAGTTTACTATCTAGGTTAAAATAGATAATGCTAATATATATTTCTGCTAACTAGCTAAGTTAGTATACTTAGAATATAAATTAATTCTATATATTCTGCTTATCTTGTAGCGTGCGTATAATAACGACGTGCGTAGCTTCTATTAGTATAATTGCCTCTGCAAATGCTATTAAAGCTACTATAATCTAAGGCCTATCTAGATCTCTCTATTTAGTAAGCTTAAGGTTAATTTTATGCTGTATTATACCTCTCTGCATAACTAAGACGCTCTCGTTACTAAACTTCTCTCTTAAGCTTAGCTACGTTACTGCCTGCATAATTAGTTTATATAACTCTATAAGAATTTTAGCGCAGACTTCCTTTAGCAGTAGTAGTGTATTAGCTGCTTTTACTACATCTTCTACTATAATGCTCTATATCTAGCTTAGTATTCCTAGAATTTTAACCCTTAGAGCATAAATTTAATAGGTTTTAAAACTTTAGGCTGCTTTTAGTTATAGCACGCGCCTCTTATACTAGGAAATAGTCCTTACTTAGGTTAGTAAAAAGGTTCTTTACGCTGTTTAATATAAAGCATTTAACTTTGCAGCTACTATATATTTTAAACTATGCTGCCTTTAGAGTAGCAAGCGTAGAGTAAGATGCTATCGCCTATATCTTAAAGTAGTTAAAGATTATATATCTGCTAGCTTCTAATTTATTAAGGCCTTCTTTTTCTAGGATATCTCTATATTATTGCTTAGCGTTTTATACTATACTAAGGAAATCTAAACATAGATAGCTTTAGAAGTAAGGCAGAAAGTTACTCTTAATACTAGATATTAGTTTACTCTATAGGTTGCGCGTCTTTAATATTCTTTTTAATATAAATCTCTGCGCTACTGCTGCTCCTTAAGATATAAGTTCTTTATACTTATAAGATAACTTATATTTGCTTACGTTGTACTTTATATTAGCAATTATATTACGCTATTATTTAGCTATTGCTAGGCTATTAAGAGCTGTGTTTTAGTAAGTTCTATAAGATAGTATCTCTGTAATTAACTAGTAGACTATATCTTCTATCTTATAGATGCGATCGCTAGTTACAGAGTCTCTCTTATTAGTAGCGTTAAACTAGTTAGAGACCTCTTTTCTATTTTAAAGGCTAATAAGTACTAGCGATATAAAGATTAAGATCTTATTTAGTTCTTATTCTATAGGCGTTCTAGATAGGGCCTATGCTTTCTATTAGTATCTGTAGTTATAGCTTTAAATATCCTAGTAAAACTTAGCTATAATTATGCTCTTTAACTTATAATTATAGAATTTATTAAATATAGTCTGCCTCTATACAGTAATATAACTAGAAAGTAGTATTACTCTCTTTTCTATATAAGAGCTGCCTTTGCGTATAATTATTTGCTATGCTATAACGCTTATAGTGTTATAAGCTCTAAATATATGCTTATCTACCTTTCTAAAGCTGCAGACTATTATAAACTATGCTGCTAATAGTGCTAGATAGTGCTTTGTAGCCTTAGAGTGCACAGCAGGCGTATTTACTTCTAGTATTATCTAGTAGACTATTTCTTAATAATCTACGCTTTCTAGCACGTAGCTCTATAGAGCAACTAACTTATTAGTAGCAGCGAGCGCTTTAGAGATAGCATTAGTAGTATTAATTTATATCTCTATTGCTTTCTCTTTTATTAGTCTACTTATATTCTCTAGAGAAGAGTTACTAAAGAAGCAGAACTATAGAGCTAGTAGATTACTTAGGTTGCACTACGTAGAGTTTATAAGATCTATTATAACTATCTTATTCTTCTAGGCATTAGCTGCTTGCTTTTAACTAGTTATTATTATAGCTACTTATTAAGATTTAGCGTTAAAGAAGAGGCTTCTTTTGCATGCGCAGTAGAACGTTCTCTTGCCTTTAGTAGAATATAGCTTATTATTATTATTAACTGTATTATATTCTATTACGTTGCCTTCTACTTACGTATTTTATACTTCTATCTAGTTCTTAAAGTAAATATGTTCTATAAGGACGGCAAGTACTATTACTTGCATTTTACTTATACTTATAGCATTAGCAAAGATCTTGCTATTATTAGATAATAACTCTTTAAAGTAGAGAATATATGCGTCTATAAGCTAGTATAGAGTAAAGTTATAACTAACTTCTTAATATGCTAGTAGCTTTATTATGCGCTTATTCTAGAGGTTATTAATTAAAATACTAAAGAATACTACAGCTAAAGTCTACTCTTCTAGAGTGCAGTATTCTATTACTATCTCTACTCTTGCAGAGAGACTATCTCTTATTCTAGTTTATTTATTAGCAAAGTAAATAGTAGTTAACTATCTTCTATAGTAAACTTACTTAGCGTTTAATAAAGCTTTAAGCCTTTTCTTTTATTCTCTAGTAAAGTTCTTTGCTATTATTGCCTTCTTATCCTCTAAGTTATCCTTAGAGTTAATATCTAAGCTGCTATCTAAGCAGTAGTTATTGCTATCTAGCAGGCTATCTAGCTAAGTCTTGCGCTTCTAAGCTTCTTTCTTCTCTTTCTCTTTTTTAGTCTTAGCTAGCTTCTCTTTATTCTTAGTCTTCTTAAGCTACGCTTTCTTTTCTAACTACTTTCTTTTAGCTAATTAAGCGCAGGCTGCTGCTCTGTCTCTTCTGCGTAAGCGTAGGACGTCGCTGCTAGTATTAGAGTCTTCTAAATCTTTATTTTTCTTAGTTCTTCCTTTACTTACTTTTGCATATCTGCTATCTGCTGCTTTAGTCTTATAGCGCTTAAGAGGAGGTCTGTCTAGTATAAGTTTAGAATATTAGCCTCTCTTCTTAGGTAGTAAGAGCTGTTCTAGTAGTAAGAGCTATTCTAGTAGTTTATTAGATTAGAATGTTACTGCATATAGATGTTAGTAGTATATATTTTAGTTTTAAGAGTTCATGCTATACCTTTATTAGAATTACTTAGCAGTTTTATTATCTAGCATAATAGTATTACTGCTCTAAGCTTTCTTAACTTAATATAAGAGTTAATAGTGCCTAGCAAGTTATTATCGTCCTTAATAAGCATTATTATTAACGCATCTATAACTTAAGAGGTGCCTACTTAGTACTAATTAGAGTACTTAGGTAATAATAAATGCTAGATAAGAGCATTATACTTAAGGTACCTAGGCTCTAACCTTAAAGTAGTTCTTCTCTAATTTCTGCTAGCTTTTCTTTGTTATTAGCCTAAATATAGAGAATTATTTAATAATAGAGTAATGCACAGCGTCTACTAAGGTAATATTAGCGTTATTTAAGATAGCTAGCTTAGTAAGTAATGCAACGCTAAACTTATTAGTTATTAACGCTATAGACCTATTAGATATAATAGATAAAGACTATCGCTGCGCTATCTTAGATAGTGTTAGTATTAGCGTATTGCTTAGGTTCTCTATCTTAACTTTAGCGCTATACTAACGCATCTTAGCTAGTATTATTATTTAGATAGTTCTAGCTGCAGCTTTATAGAAGACTTTAAGTATTTATGCATTTTACAGCTATATATATTTAGCTACTATAAGCTAGTCCTTTAACGTTAGTAAACGTAAGCTCTTTAGAAGCTGCAATTAGCTCTTTTCTAATTAGATCTTCTTAAGTAGGTCCTTTTTCTTAATATAGCTTATAAGGTTCTCTATAAGTTTAATAACCTCTAAGGTTATAATTCTATATTCTTCTCTTATATTTATTTATAACATGCTGTTAGAGCTTATTATATTAGCCTTGCTCTTATACTACTCTAGTTACTTTAGCAGCGCCTATTCTATATTGCTGTTATTATTGCTGTTATATCTAGCTATAATAGCTTTGCGCCTAGAGTAGAAGATAGTTAGCAACTATATATAATTATTAGACTGTTGCTAAAAGTGCGTATTAATATATAGATATTGCTTAGAAGAGTGCGCTTACTAACTATAGAGAGTTTAAGCGCAGTTGCAGGTTATTAATATAAGAAGCGCGTTATTAACGTAAGAAGCGCGTTGTAGATTTAAGAAGCGCGTTGCTGTAATAGTAGCAATA